GATATCAAGAACATTATCCATGAAGAAAGCAAGAGGTCATTAAAAAGATGAGAAAAGAAGAAAAGACCAAAATAGATGTCAGAAGAGACTCTGAAACTTGCCCTTGAGTGGAGAGTAGCTAGCTAGACAATGAATAAGGAAGACTGAAGAATTGATGCTTTTGAGTTGTGGTGTGGGCAAGGAATGCTGAAGGTACCATGGACTGCTAAAAGAACTAACAAGTCTGTGCAGCCAGAATGCTCCATGGAAGTGAGAATGGCCAGACTTCGTCTCACCTACTTTGGTCATGTTATCAGAAAGGACCATTCCCTGGAGCAAGATGTCTTGCTTGGTAAGGTGGAGTGTTGATGAAATTGGGGAAGGCCCTCAATGAGATGGATTGACACAGGGGCTGCAGCGACAGCCTCAAGTATAGCAAGGATTGTGGAGCTGGTGCGGGACTAGGTGGTGTTTCGTTCTGGTGTGCTTAGGGTTGCTATTAGTTGGAGACTACTTAATGGCACCTAACAACAACAACAGTGTACACATGAACCTCACCAGAAAGAATAAACAGAAATCAGATCGATTACATCTTTAGAAAGAACTCAGTATCTTCAGTCAAAACAAAGTCAGGAGCTGACTGCGGAATAGACCATTCCATTGCTCATATGCAAGTTCAAAATGAAGCTGAGGAAAATTAAAACAAGTTCATAGAGCCAAAATATGACCTTGATTATATCCCACCTGAATTTAGAGACTATCTGAAGAACAGATTTGACAATTGAACACCAATGACCGCAGACCAGATAAGTTGTGGAATGACATCAAGAACATAATGTGTGAAGAAAGACAGGAAAGGAAGAAAAGGCCAAAATGTGTATGTTAGAAGAGACTCTGAAATTTGCTCTTGAATGAAAAGTAGCTAAAGCGAATGGAAGAAATGCTGAAATAGAAGAACCAAACAGAACATTTGAAAGGGCAGCTCAAGAAGACAAAGTGAAGTATTATAATGAAACGTGCAAAGACCTACAGTTAGAAAACCAAAAGAGAAGAACATGCTCAGTATGTCTCAAGCTGAAAGAACTGAAGAAAAAAATTAAACTTTGAGTTGCAATATTGAAGGATTCTGTAGGCAAAATATTGAATGATGCAGGAAGTACAAAAGAAGATGGAAGGAATACATAGAGTTACTGTACCAAAAAGAATTGGTCAATGTTTAACTATTTCAGGAGGTAGCATATGATCAAGAACCAATGACATTGAAGGAAGAAGTCCAAGCTGCACTGAAGGAATTAGTGAAAAACAAGGCTACAGGAATTGCTGAAATACCTATTGTTGTTGTTGTTGTTATGTGCTGTGGAGTCGGACCCGATTCATAGCGATCCCTCCTTGGGTTTCTGAGGCGGTACCATTACAGAAGTAGATTGCCCAACCTTCCTTCCGAGGAGTGGCTGGTGAGTTTGAACCACCAGCCTTCTGGTTAGCAGTCAAGTGCCTTAGGCACTATGCTACCAGAGCTCCTGAAATACCTATTGAGATGTTTCAACAAACAGATGTGGTGCTGGATGCACTTATTGTTTATGGCAAGAAATTTGGAAGACAGATAGCTAGCTGGCCAACTGACTAGAAGAGCTTGATATTTGTGTCCATTCCAAAGAAAGATGATCCAACAGATGTGGAAATTATTGAACAATATCATTCATATCACACACAAGTAAAATTTTGCTGAAGATAATTCAAATGTTTCTTATTGGTCCAGCTGTGAGGTTTCAACAGTATACTGGCAGGGATGTTGCAGAAATTCAAGATGGATTCAGAAGAGGACATGGAGCAAGGGATGTCAGAAGGATCTTGGCTGTAAGTGAAGAATACCAGAAAGATGTTTACTTATGTTTCATTGACTATGGAAAGGCATTTGACTGTGTGGGTCATAATAAATTATGGATAACATTGAGAAGAATGGGAATTCCAGAACACTTAACTGTGCTCATGAGGAACTTGTGCATAGACCATGAGGCTGTCATTTTAACAGAACAAGGAGATACTGCATGTTTTAAAATCGGGAAGGGTGTGTGTCAGAGTTGTATCCTTTCACCATACTTATTCAATCTGAATGCTGAGCAAATAATCCGAGAAGCTGGACTATATGAAGGAGGACACAGCATCAGGATTGGAGGAAGACTCATTAGCAACCCGTACTATGCAGATGACACAGCCTTGCTTGCTGAAAGTGAAGATGACTTGAAGCACTTACTGATGAAAATCAAAGGCTTTAGTATTGATCACAACTCAACATAAAGAAAACTCCAGTCTTCAGTATTGCTTACACCTCAATATAAAGAAAACAAAAATCCTCACAGCTGGACCAATAAGAAACATGACGATAAATGGAGAAAAGATTGAAGTTGTCAGGGTTTTCATTTTACTTCGATCCATAATCAGCACCCATGGAAGCAATACTCAAGAAATCAGATATTATATTGCTCTGGGAAAATCTACTACAAAAGACTCTTTTCAAAGTGTTAAGCGAAGATGTCACTTTGAAGAGTAAGATGCGCCTAACTCAAGCCATGGTGTTTTCATTTGCCTCATATGCATGTGAAAGCTGGACAATGATTAAGGCAGACCAAAGGAGAGTTGATGACTTTGAATTGCGGTTTGGTGAAAAATACTGAAAATACCAAGGACTGCCAAAAGAATGAACACATCTGTCCTGGAAGAAGTACAGCTGGAATGCTCCTTGTGAGGGAGAATGGCCAGATTTCATCTTACCTACTTTGGTCATGTTGTCAGAAAGGACTATTCCCTGGAGAAGAATATCATGCTTGGTAAAGTGGAGGATCAGCGTAAAAGGGAAAGGCCCTCAACAAGATGCATTTACATGATGATCTCAAGTATAGCAAGGATTGTGAGGATGGTGCACAACCAGGCAGAGTTTCATTCTGTTGTACGTAGGGTTGCTATGAGTTGGAATTGAGTTTATAGCACCTAACACAACAGAGGCTTGGGGAAGGGGAAAATGGAAAGTTATTGCTTAAGAAGTACTTTATTTCTACTTGGAGTGAAGAATAAAAATATCATTTCTTTCCACCAAAGTACTAACATAGTATTAGAAAATTTTCCCATTTTAAGTTTTTCTCTAAGATTGTGCTTATCTTTTCTTTAAAGGTGCCCAGCTGTTGTTTAGACCCTTGTTAAATAAATATGAGAAAGAAACATTAGAAAATCAGAACTTATATCTTGTTGGTGCTTCCAATATTAGACTGCTACTAGGGGCGGAAGCACTGGGCTTGGTAAAAGAGTGCAATGATAACACCATGAGAGCCTTCACCTACGGAACTCGACAGAACTTCAAAGGTTTTGATGGTAAGTCCTATCATTGAGGGTAAGTCTCTCAATTCTTTGTTTTTATATGAATTAATTTATCAAACATAAGTTTTGATCAATAGATCAGGAGTCGGCAAACTTTTTTTAGTAAAGGACCATGTAGTAAATATTTTGGACGCTGCTAGCTATATGATTTCTGTTGCAACTACTCACCATTGCCATTGTATTGCAAAAGCAGCCTTAAGCAAATGACGAAAGAATGTGACTGTGTCCCAGTAAAACTTTATTTACAAAATCAGATGGTTAACCACATTTGGTCCACAGCCCTTAGTTTGCCACCTTGGAGTAGATGAACGTAAATTAGGACACATGTAACTTATTAATATTATTCAATTATAATTTTTAGAATGGTGAATATTCATTGGCTTTATATAGAAAAATCTTATAATTCTTAAAATAGGAGAAGCACATTCCATTCAGTACCCTATAATCCCCATTTCCTGAATTTTCTGGCTTGTGCTGTGTTCAGGAGCTCTGGTAGCATAGTGCCTAAGGCACTTGACTGCTAACCAGAAGGCTGGCGGTTCAAATCCACCAGCCACTCCTCGGAAGGAAGGTTGGGTAATCTGCTTCCGTAGTGATACTGCCTCACAACCCAAGGAGGGGTCGCTATGAGTTGGGTCCAACTCGACGGCACATAACAGCAACAACTGAATTCAGTGGGGTAATGTTTTGGCCCAAAATAGGGGATTCTGGAAGAGAACAGATTCTGGAAATAACCGTGAAAGCTAAGGTGACTGTGATATCAGGGTGAGAGTTTGATTTCAGAATCAAACTGATCTCTTTCAGGGCTTTCTGAGTTAACAAGACATGATCAGACTCCTTCAAGCTCACTTACTCTGGCTTTTTATACCTTAGTGAATAAATGATCAAAATGAAATTGCCTCATAGATGAAATTCACCTCATGGGAGAGCATTTGCCCATCAAAGAGCTATCATGTATATATTTTTTATTTTGGGGAGGTATGTTTGATTTCAGAGGGAATGGCCTGGGTTTGAGAGTTCGAAGGAAGAGAACTTGCCATGCATACAAACTTCTTCGATTATATCCCTAGGAAGGAATGTTATTAGAAGTAAAGAGTATATTGTCTTCTGTTCATTGGTACTTAATGAGATGAAGTAAATGTCTGCTGTTTGGATATTTGGACCATATTATGTAATAACTGTTACGGTAATGGAAGAATTGTATTATGTGAATGTATAACTGATTTTTTTATTCTTATAAAATATTTAAGAAGCTTTATGTTGTATTTAATTTATCAATCTTATACTTTGCTTACTACTTATGTTAAGGAGCTCTGGTGGCATGTTTAAATCATTTGACAGGCTTTTTAGTTTGAACCTACCAGCCTCTCCAACAGGAGAAAGATAAGGCTGGTTGCTTCTATAAAGATTATAACTTTACTATGAGTCAGAAATGACTTAGTGGCAGTGAGTTTGGTTTTTGTTTGATACTATTTATATTAACTATTCATTGTTTACATCATTATTTCCATCATCCCAGGTAATTTGAGTGTTATTACTTAATTTTTACTTTGACTTTATTACAGAGAAAATAACTAGAAATTTTGGCTTACTTTTAGATAATAATGATGATTTCCTCACAATGGCAGAATGTCAATTCATTATCAAGCATGAACTTGAAAATCTAAGAGCCAGAGATGAAAAAATGATCCCTGGTTATCCCTTGGCAAAGTTGTATCCAGGAAAATCATTATGTAAGTCATTATATCAACCAGTTTCATGAGTCCACATTCTAATGCTATTATTTTTTCTTAGGATCCCTGGTGGTATAATAGTTAAGTACTCAGCTGCTAACTGAAAGGTTGCCAGTTTGAACCCACCTAGAGGTTCTGCGAGAGAAAAATCTGGCAATCTACTCCCATAAAGCTTCAAGCCTATAAAATCCATGGGACAGTTCTACTCTGTCACGTGGGATCACCATGAATCGAAATCAATTTGATGACACTGAACCATACCACAAAGACATAAATAACAAATTATAGAGGTTTTAGTTTTTCCTCTTACTGAAAATGTTAACCAACTTTACAGTACCGTATTTTTCATGAGCGTATCTTTTGGCTTTTGAGCTTCATTCTACTGCACCTTTAAATCAATATATTCTCTGTAGTTCTCTACTACTAATTTATGAAAGTTTTACAGCATACAATTAGCTAGGAAATAATGTGGTCAAAAATTAAGAGTTTATATTGATATTTTGAATTCCAATTAAAATCAGGATTTCGCTTAATTTCTTTGGTTTTATATCTCTTTTCACTTATGTTGAAAATCTTGATTCTTAATAATATTAACATAATTATGTACACTATACATTTCTGAATGCAGTTTAAGATTTCTTTCTACTACTCCGCCACCCACTCCACATTACTATATATGGTTAATATCTTACCTGTTTTTTAAAGGTTTGGTAGCATTCTCTTATGAAATCATCTGGCTCTGATATTTGTGGGTTAAGTCTTAGAACAGTTTTTACTAAATCGTATATAGAAATTTATTTGTTTAGACTTTCTATCTCTACTGAGGTTGTTGTTGTTGTTATGTGCCGTCGAGTTGGACCCGACTCATAGTGACCCCTCCTTGGGTTTCCAAGGCAGTATCACTACGGAAGTAGATTGCTGCATTTTCCTTCTGAGGTTAGTTTGGGTAAATTTTATTTTTTAGAGTAGTACTCATTTTATTTAAGTTTTCAAATATGTGAATTGGTTTGGGAAATATCCCTCAGGATCTTTTTAATTTCTCTGCTTTAATGAAGATTTCCCACTTGCCGTTTCTTATTTTATTTGTGCTTTCTCCTTTTTTTCTTATCTAGGTAACTAGTGATTTACCAGTTTTGTTGACCCTTTTCACACAAAACATCAGTGTTTAATTTACTTATTAGTTTACTATGCTTCTGTTTTCTAACTCATTAATTCCTGCTTTCATCTTTATGAATCCTGCATCTGTCTTCTTTCTGTGTACTTTGTTGTCATTTTTCTTTCTGAATTAAATGTTTAATTCACCTTGTGTTGATTGTTTTATTTTTGTTGTCAAATACTTATTAAGACTGTTTTTCTCTGACCATTGCTTTATCTATACCTCATAGGTCTGATATCTAGAAATTCTGTGCTTTCATTTTGTGTTTCTCCTTTGACTTCAGAGTTATTCAATAGTCAGTTTTAAGGTTTCCAGGTGAAAGGGCCTTTGCTTTTTTTCTTTTTAATTTTTAATTTCGTGATTTCTAGTTTTGCTGAATTGTTTCTGAGAATGATGTTTGTATTGCTACTTTTAAAAATTTCTGAGAAGGTTTTCTTTGTGGCCTAATATATGGCCATTTTTCATGAACGTTCCATATACATTTAAAAAGAAAGTATATATTCTCTAGTTTAGGAAACAAAGTTTGATATGTTTATCTATAAGCTCTGCCTCATTGATCATGTTGTGTAGGTCTTCTATATCCCTTCTTATGTTTTAATCCATGAGTGTTTATTCGTAGTGACAGAGGGAAAGCCTCTTACTCTGAGCATGCTTCTATTTCTTTTTGTTTCTTCTATAGTTTCTGCTTAATTAAAGTTTCTGCTGTGTGACTTATGTGCAGATATTCGTAACTTGCTGTTTTGTCAGTATGTGTTGTAGTCTTTTTGGTGTTAGGAGATGTCCTCCTTTGTCTCATTGAGTTTTGCTATGATTGCTACCTTGTCATGATCTTGGCCTTATTTTTGTTTGTATTTTCCTATTATACCTTTCTCTATCCATTAATATTTTGGCTGTTTTAATCATATTGTTTTAGGTATATAGAACACAACACAGAGGTAGTTTTTCTTTTATGAGTTGTCTAAAAATCTTTTAGTAAGTAAGTTTAGCTTATTTCCATTGATTGCTACAGTCTTTTTGTTTGTCTTCTTATCTTATTTAATGGCCTTTGTACTGTATAGATACAGGCTTTCACTATGTGGTCTAGGTGTTTTTTTTTTTTTCCCTCTTAAAAATTCTTAATATTTATGAAGATTTATACTTTTGCTTTAATATTTCTTTTATGCTAATAACTTTATATACTATTTTTTCTATACTGTGAACAATATTTGCTAATAATCTTTCTACTCCTTTCTCTCCTCCATCTAATTTTAATCAGTTTTATTGTTCTTAATGTTTGTCTTTGGATTCTTAAATACACTTTTGTTTCAGTTAGCTTATTCTGCTCTCCCTTCTCTCACTCTTTGCACACACACACTCTCTCTCTCATTCTTTGGGTGAATACGTGCATTTTCTACTTTGTCTGAACATTTGACATTACATACTGTTCTACTTTATTATTACCCTTGTTTTAATCTTAGATCTAGTATTGAATATGTTCAATATTGCCAAGTCATTTGCAATCATCCCTTGTTTGGATGAAGCTCATCCTTTATTAGATTTCTTAGAAAGGGCCCATTGATGCAGTAGTCCCTGAGTTCCTTCATTTTCAAAACATATTTTCCCCCTGTACTTTGATATTTGAAGGACAACAGTATGATTAGATAAAAATCTTTGGCTCACATATTCTTTCCTTCAGATTCTTGAAGCTGTTGCTCTTCTCTTTTCTTAAACGTTGCTGATGAAGTCTGATGGCAGCATAGCTATCTTTGCTTTTTATTTTTTTAACTTTTTATTGTGATTTGGGAGAAATTTTACAAGGCAGATTCATTTTATATTCAACAGTTCTTACACATTTTATTTTGTGACACTGATTATATTCCCTGTAGTGTAACATCTCACCTCCTCCTTCTTTCTTCTGGTTATGCTTTTAAAACTGTGTCCTTCTTGCCTATGCATTCCTGCCTCTCTACTTTTCTCCTTGTGCAAATGCTGCCCTTCTGATCTCCCATGGCTGATTGTTCTAAAGAGTACATCTCCCTGGTGTAGGTGTTCAGCTCATAGTCCTGTCTATTGTTTGGTTGAGTGTTAAGCCACAGGAGTGAGTTCAGTTCCAGGTTTGAAGGGTGACTCGGGGCCATAGTCTCAGGTTTCACCAGTCTCCATCAGACCAGTAAGCCTGGTCTTGTTTATGATTTTGGTTTTTGTTCCATATATCTCTCCCACTCTGTACAGGATCTCCAATTTTGATTCCTTTCCGAGTGGTTGGCATTGATAGCCAGGCACCATCTAGTTCTTCTGGTCTGAGGATCATACAGGTTGAGGTTCTCATGGGCCATTAGTCCTTTGAACTAACTCCAGGCATCTTTGATTTTCTTAACTCTTCTTTGCTCTGGACAAGGAAAGACCAATAGTTGACCCTTAGTTTGTTTGCTATTTTAAGTGGCATGGTCTTTTAGCTTGATTATAGTTTATAAGGGGAGATTTTAGATTAGAGGGTAGATTATAGTTCTAAGTGGAGCCCCTGGGTGGTACAAACAGTTAAGCCCTTGACCACTAGCTAAGAGGTTGGCAGTTGAAGTTGACCCATAGGTGCCTAAGGAGACAGGCCTGGTGATCTGCTTCTGAAATGTTACAGCTTTAAAAACCCTATAGTACAGTTCTACTCTGCACACACGCAGTTGCCCCGAGTCAGAATTGACCATGGCAGCAAACAACATCAAAAACATAGTTCTAAATATTATTTGTCTCATTGGTTTTTCTTCTTCAGGAACTCAATTTACATGTGTTGGATCTTCATTGCTTGTTTTCTTCATCTATTACTTTCCTTTGATGCCTTTTATCTCTTTATGTATTTCTATCTAATTTTCTTAGCTCTTCTCATTTATAAGGAGCTCTGGTGGTATTGTGCCTAAAGTATTTGACTGCTAAGCAGAAGGCTGTCAGTTCAAACCCACCAGCCACTCCTCAGAAGGAAGGTTGGTCTGCCTTGGACATCTAGTAATTTGGTCTTTATTTCTGAGGAGATTTTGTCTCGTTCTGTCAGAATTTTTACTGAGTTCTGTTAGTTCCCATTTTATACCTTCTGTTTATTTGCTCTGTTCTTTTCTGACTCTTGAGATTCTTTCATATTTGGAGTTATTTATTTTAAACTCATGTTGGAATATTGTAGTTTTCTCTTCCTTTGTGTCTGGATTTTTCTTTCATCTGCTGGAATTTTAATTTTCTTTTTTTTAAGTATCTTCATATGGATGTAGAATTTTATTTTTATCATTAGTGTTTGAATGTTTAGGATTTTCCTGTATGAACCATTAGCATGAGATCCTATGGGGTATGAAGGAAAGGAGTTTAGATGGCTTTCTGAGTCAATGCCAGGCTTCCTCTCCCATTGCCATACTAAATAAAGGTACTTTGAAAAACCAGATGGTGTCTTTCCTCCCCCCACCTCCTGCTCCCTCCCATGAGAGTTTTTGTTTCTTTTCTGATTTTTAATATATCATGTTTAATATTATCACTTTCTTCACCATAGGCTGCTACCTCTGAGGACTACTTTAATTTTACTTTTCAAAGTATTTCCTTCTGTGTTCCCCAGAAGCAGTGATTTCATATATCAGCCACTTCTTATTTTGTGTATTTTTCAAGTTCTGCCTTTCAACTTCTCATGCTGCCAGTGCTCTGTCCCCTCATATCACAAACCTGTTCTCATAAGTTCTCACTCAAGAGGATAGTGGTGATTGCTAGTTAGTGTTGCCTAGATTTTCTGTATGATTAGAACCTCTCTAAAAGGAGCCGTGATGGTGTGGTGGTTAGAGTGCTTGGCTGTAAACCAAAAGATTAGTGATTTGAACCCACCAGCTGCTTCACAGGA